CAGGTCTTATCGCTGAATAATCGTCTCCATTGCATTGTGTTTTAATTATGTGGAATGGAATTAAACTTCAAAAGTTCTGCTTGTGGGTGGTGTCAGATTAATGATGCTGAAAAGGCTCAGGAAGAGGGGGGAAATGATCCATCCCTAAGTGAGGTACTGCCCCTACAGGAAAAGCTCAAAATATCCTAACTGTTCTCATGGTAGGTGGTTCTTAGAAAATCGGCATAGTCCTGGGACATTTGTTCTAAAACGTTGTAGCTTATATGCAAGGCTGTACAAATTTACTCAATGGGTTTTACTTCATGTGAATTGTGTTTAGGTATTCAGCTCATGAACTGGTAAGTGCCCAGTGTTTGTTTTGCTCCAATCTGCTCAAGTTTCCTAACATTAAATCTACAGGTCCTTCAGGATTGGCTCTTCCATCTTTCAGAGAGAAAGAATATCACTGACCTTTGTCACAAGTCTTTTGAGGCAGTAGATAAATTGCGTAAATAAATAAAATGAATAAATGTAGCAGTATGCTCAAGGAACATATGATGAATATAAATTAGCAAAGGATTTCCTCTCAGTGACATCAGCATGCTAAACCTGTATGATTGGATAGAGTTGGCATGCTCCAGGCCCCTTCCATTAAGGACTGTCATCTACTGAGACCTAGAAAATGTGCCTTCTCCATTGCAGCTCCTGCCTCTGGAACACCATCCCTTCCCCCTCCCACAGATGCATCCAGCCCCCACCCTGACCATATTCAGAAGGGCTCTAAAGACGTGACTTTTTTCCCAAGCTTGGGTTAGAGTGGGTGGCAGGTCGTATTTGAGTGCCTTTTAATGGTTGCTTTTCCTCTAGCATCTGGGTGATTTTTGTTTTTAATTGTATTGTATGGTTGTTTTTACTATATACTACCCAGAGCTGTCATAGAGTTGGGCAGCCTTATACAGTTCTAAAATGTCAAATTTAAATAAACTTTAAAAACCCTGAGTTCATTGGCTGTATTTTGCAAATAAATTGTTAGTTGGATAATTGCAAATGCATGTGCACAGTTGCACATTCCAAATATTGTTTTAAAGTTTGGTCTCTGATTTGCTGCCTCCCTTTTATGCAGTGGCTCCCCATAGCTGTAGGAGTTGCATGGGTTGCAGATGTTTTGACTTGGTTGTAAAAATATATTTTATCCTGCAGTCATAACTTAATAATATAGCTTTCACATCATGCTACCTTTTTTAGTTCAGGGATATGGGGTGTTTCCTTTTAGGTACTAATGTATGCTTATAATTAATTTGATATTTGGTGCTGAATATTTATACTACTTATATTGATTTAGTTTTCAAATTTATGCTTTCTGCTTTTCCACATATAACAGCCAAGATGAATAAAAATGAAAAACAGCAAAATATATGAATTTAAATATAACAGTATAACAAACACCAGCAACCCAGTTAAAACTTGCATGCAAATCAGCAGAAAAGAAAATAATTATTAGGTCTGTTAGAATTAATTTTTTTACTGTTGATCAAGGAAAGAAGTCCATGAGATGACTAGAAATATCTTCCTTAGAAGGGTAGCGCCTTGATTTAATGCAGTCAGTGAAAAGGCCATCCATTGTGTTCCACCAAGTGTGCATCAAATGCTAATAGAAGCTGAGAAAAAACCTTTAGACAAATTTGTGGACCCTTTAGTTAACTTGTGGCTGAATTTAAGAAATTCCATGGTTAAGCGTTCTGAAGGGACTGAAGTTGAAGTGTTGATTGTGGTATAATTTCGTGAAGATTAATTCACTTATGCCATTTATCAGTTGAGCAAGTATGTGATGCCCATATCTGGAATCCAGAGGGGTTTGTATGTGTATTTGAATACCGGAGACCAGGACATGTATGGGTTGAAGCATAAATTGATTTATTGACCAATACGGTAGATCCAATGGGTAATGCTAGAGACCCAATGGGTAGTGCTAAAGAGGAGTAAGGTCACAAGCCTTCTTTATTGATATATACAAATCATCCCTTCCATTTGATTGGTTACATTATAATTACACTTAAGCAGCAACAATATAATAGATAATGACCTATTGTTATTGTTATAATAATTGTAGTAGTGCAACTGATAAAATTACCTTTATTTATTGGGTTCATTTCTATGCATATTAAAACATTCATTGATGGAATGAATAAGTTGGGAGGCTGATATAGTACTGACAGGCCCACTGGATTGCCACAAAGCTCTGGGAATGCCCAGGAAGCCCAAATGTAAGCCTGAAGGCCACAGAAGCCACAAGGAGGCTGCTGGGAACATGGAGGCTGTGCAGGAGCGTGTGGAGGACATGGAGGCTAGGAAGTCTGTTGAGAATGCTGGGGATATGGAGGCTATGTGGGAGATGGAGATGCTGCTGAAGCTGCAGTGGTCTCGGAGGCCTCGTGGTTGGCAGCCCTGACTCCAGAGACCAAAGCCACCATGGATGCAAAGTGTGCTGGGCCTGGTAGAGCTGGTACTGACAGTGCAATGGGAGCCTGCAGGGCTGGTGGAGTGGCTGGGGCCAGCAGGGGCCTCAGAATTCAGGTACCTGGTAGTGTCATTGGAGCCAGTGGTAGGATGATGGCACAGTGGACTGCTTGGCATTTAGGGCTGGTTGTGATGTGTCAGATGTCTGAGTGACCATGAGTGGCTTTTTAACATCTGCACCTCCCTTGGACATTGGACTGCTAGGGTGTGGGCTGGTTTGGTCCTCTCAGTCTATCTCTGGACCTGTGTGGAAGGTCCTGGGGCTGCTCTGGAGGAAAGATGAAAGTTGTGGGGCATAACCAGGTTGTGCTGGGCTTGCGGATACTGTGCTTTTTGGGGCCTTTGCTGCCAGCTTGGAGGCCAGTGGTGGGCTCTGGAGTTGCCCAAACAGGGTTCTTCCCTGGGCCTAAGAAGGAGGTGTCTTTCTGTCTCTCTGGCCCTTTGGAGTTGTTATCTTCCACCCTGATGGTGGATGGCAGGTGGCCCTGGTTGGGTCCCTTGTGGGACAGGGTGAGTTATTGTGGCTTGGTTTGTGTTGGTTGTATGGGTGTGATTGTGTGCCTTGGCCTGAGAGGAGGGACCAAGGTGTGAAGAGAGCTGAGGGAGCAGGCAGGAACATCAGGACAGTCACAGGCAGAGATAGGTGTGGCGGTGACCCAGGGGCAGGGCGCATATGGGGACATTGGACTTGCCACTTTTTTAGCCATTCAGGTCTGATTTCATCTATCAGTGGTATCAGAGATATTGGTTATTTTTGTGATTTCCATTTTTTTTAAAAATGCAGGTAATAGAAAAACTCACCTTAATTTTTCCTCTTCCCTCAGGAGTACAATGTGGCATAAATGCAGAAGTAGAAAAGCAACTTGAATTGGGAAAGAAACTGTTGGCAGCTGGGCAGCTGGCAGATGCTTTGTCACACTTCCATGCCGCCATAGGTACGTACCTGAAGACTGCTGAGTTTTCCTTCTGAATATGTGGTTTTTGCTACCTCTAGTCCATCAAGATAAATTATTCTGGTGTTAGTTTCTGCATTCTGTCCCTGTCACTTAAATCTAAGTAAGCAACTATAGTGTTCACTTCCAGATAACTTCTAGCTATTCTGTGGTTTCTTTCATTTATATTTATTACAGTTTAATTTACGATTAGAACACAGATCAGTGGAACTTAAGTTAGTCATGGTGTTAGTATAAGTTCTTCATGGCAGAGATCAATTGTGGTATAGTGGTTTCAGTGTTGGCGCCAGGGGACTCCAAGCTGGACAGACACAGATCCTAGTCCCCTGCTTGACCATGGAACTTGCTGAGTAACTTTGGGTCATATTTGAAACTCATTTAGTGGAGATAAATTAAGGGGAGACTTCCCAGGTAAGCTGTTTTGAACTTGCTGAGGAGAAGGGAAACTATCAGTATAACAAATAATGGCAGACTCAGGTTCAGGTGTGGCTATTGCAAATAAGATCATCAATACTGCATTTGGATTGTGAATTGTGTAGGACTTGTTCAAATTTTCCTGATCGCTATGGGTTTTTACATTTCAGTGGGTGAGTCAGGCTTGTGCAGGGATTTCTAGAATCACAGAGTCCTAAAGCCTATTTAGATCACTGAGTCCAACTCCCTGCTCAGAGTAAGAATCCAAGTTAAAGCTTTGTTCTTTAGTTTCTAGCTTCCAGCTGAAGATTTCCAGAGAAGGAGTTCAGTAACACTCCACTGTCAAACGATCCTTACTGTTAGGAAGTTTCTTCTAACATTTCATTGGAATTGCCTAAAATCCAATACTCCGTTTTTTGGATTTTGAGAAGATAGAGAACAGGCCTTGGTGATATGTTAGATCCTCACTCATACGCTGTTATAGGAGAAGATAGATATAATAGGCCATCATTTGGAAAGTTGCATGAGAAAGGGATGTCACTGTCATTCTACCATTCTCCTCTGCAGTTGGAGGCTTCAGCTATTTTCTCTGTTTGCAACTCCAGTCTTTGGCAGAACAGAGATGAGAAATGGAAAAAAGGGTCTGTGTCAGGAAACTGCGAGGGGAGTAAGGTATGGGAATGAGAGTTCTCACTCTCTGCCTCTCTGTGCCTCTTGTAATATCTGAAAATATTTATGTGTGATGAGGTAGACACAAGAAAATAAATGTTTTCCATCATTGATTGTGGTTTTTTTGAACAGTGGTTTATTAGCTGAGTTAGCACAGCACACTGAACTGTAAACCATTTCCAAAATAGTGATTGAGTTAGGGTTAAGGAAGGGCTAGGATCATGGGTGGACTTATGCATTTTATTAACCCATTCCCCCCAAGTATAAGGTTAAAATTAGGGGTGATGAGAAACTCATTCTTGGTGAGCATTCTGGTTGCTGATTGAATGTTTTTATACTTGGTTCACAGTTCCAAAATATTCTAGCTATTTGCAGGAATTAAGCAAAAAGGCTGGTATGTTTCTATTGGGTACATGCTAAAGGCTTATTAACAGGGAGGGTGAGAAGAACATTCCATCACTGGTCTCCAGCAAGTCAATTATTTGGCCTTCCATAAGGGAAGGATGTAGAATCCAGGACCAAAATACAGTGGAGCAAAAAAGTATTTAGTCAGCCACCAATTGTGCAAGTTCTCCCACTTAAAAAGATGAGAGAGGCCTGTAATTTTCATCATAGGTATACCTCAACTATGAGAGACAAAATGAGAAAAAAAATCCAGAAAATCACATTGTCTGATTTTTAAAGAATTTATTTGCAAACTCGATCTGGGGCTCCACGCAAGATCTCACCCCGTGGGGTCAAAATGACATGATTTGCAAATAAATTCTTTAAAAATCAGACAATGTGATTTTCTGGATTTTTTTCCCCATTTTGTCTCTCATAGTTGAGGTATACCTATGATGAAAATTACAGGCCTCTCTCATCTTTTTAAGTGGGAGAACTTGCACATTTGGTCATGATTTGCAAATAAATTCTTTAAAAATCAGACAATGTGATTTTCTGGATTTTTTTCCCCATTTTGTCTCTCATAGTTGAGGTATACCTATGATGAAAATTACAGGCCTCTCTCATCTTTTTAAGTGGGAGAACTTGCACATTTGGTCATGATTTGCAAATAAATTCTTTAAAAATCAGACAATGTGATTTTCTGGATTTTTTTCCCCATTTTGTCTCTCATAGTTGAGGTATACCTATGATGAAAATTACAGGCCTCTCTCATCTTTTTAAGTGGGAGAACTTGCACATTTGGTCATGATTTGCAAATAAATTCTTTAAAAATCAGACAATGTGATTTTCTGGATTTTTTTCCCCATTTTGTCTCTCATAGTTGAGGTATACCTATGATGAAAATTACAGGCCTCTCTCATCTTTTTAAGTGGGAGAACTTGCACATTTGGTCTTGTTTGTAGGTGACCAAATACTTATTTTCCACCATGATTTACTTATTTTCCACCATGATTTGCAAATAAATTCTTTAAAAATCAGACAATGTGATTTTCTGGATTTTTTTCCCCATTTTGTCTCTCATAGTTGAGGTATACCTACAGTATGATGAAAATTACAGGCCTCTTTCATCTTTTTAAGTGGGAGAACTTGCACATTTGGTGGCTGACTAAACACTTTTTTGCCCCACTGTATATTACACACATGTGAGTCTGCAGTTAGAGATTAGAAGCTGTAGCATGTTGGCGCTCAGCTTTATTCTTTTATTGCCCACTTTTGGAAAGCCTGTCCTATGCATACCATTTTTAAAATTTTCATTAGAGTGCCTACTTTGCTGGAAATATTCCTTCATCAAGTTATATGCACTGGTAGACCCCCTCCTCCCCCCTCCCCCCCCCCCAGTAATTGTGTTATTATTCCTCCTTGTTGCTTGCTCCCTTCTATCCAAAGCTTTGGCTGGCTTGAGGCAATGTTCTGATTGCTACTTTTTCTCTTGCAGAAGGAGACGCTGATAACTACCTTGCTTATTACAGAAGAGCCACAGTCTATCTAGCCATGGGCAAATCAAAAGCTGCCATTCGTGACTTAAGCAGGGTAGTTGAATTAAAGCAGGATTTCACATCGGTAAGCAATGCTTTCTAAAAATTCCTTCAGGGTGGCTGGAAATGGCTTTTGGTCTTTATTTTTCTGTTGCCTTTTAAATGGGAGTCTGTCTCCCTTTCTTTTTTAGTAAGTGGTCTAATCTAACAGGGAACCTCAATTATCATACAACTTGGGGGGATTAAATGTAGGCTACAATTCTAGGTGGGAAGACAGGATTTTCATAGTATTAATTCAGCATGTGAATTTTCTCTGATTACTGCAAGAGGTATTAATATGTTACTGTGATTTGGGGCTGAAGATTTTGGCATAACTACAAATTGCTGAAGTATACGCAGATGGATCCTTAAATCCTTTTTAGATTCTTAAGTAGTCTTTCTTCATTATCAAAATCATGATTGTTTTATTTGGAGCATCCATAATCTTGCTAATACAGTGGTATATAGCACTATGTATTTTGATGCCACTATATCAGCGATAATCGTAATATTTCTACTGCTTGGGAGGTGTATATTTTTAGAAAGTAATGCTGATGCTATAAAATCTTTGAATAACGAAGTAACACTTTTTAAAATTGGAAAACTTTGGAAATATTGTGCTATATATCAATACTTAGTAATTTTATTGGTGATAGATTAGAGTTATATTTGTAGATCTTTATAAGATTCAAACTGGGATCTGGAGTTTTTTTTTTTTTTTGGAGTAATGTATAGTAATTTTACCTTGTCTTGTGTTGAAACCAAAAGCAGATGCTGTTATCAGAAGCAGAGGCATCTCTCTGTGTGTAGGTTTTAAAAAGTCAAGATGGTGGCTGTAATACAAGTAAAAAAGGAGTAAGTCTTTGATCATGCAGCTGCCATATTGACTTTTTTGACCCCCATGTCTCTAATCAGAAATACTTTTTTCTCTCAGCAGTAATGATTTTGATATTTGTTTTGATGTTTCAGTAAGACTATAATTTGGGGGAAATTCAAAGTCATATGAAGCATTTACTTAGAAATCCTTTCAATTTAAAGGAAAATGATTGAATTGTGCCATCATTTGCAATGATACACTTTTGACTGATGTAATAATTTTAAAAAATCTTTGCTAAAAACTTGTAATTAGAAAATGAAGAAGCCATGCATGTTATGAATCAGACAAGGTAAGATAATGTCCCCATGGTTCTTCTAAAGTAATTTAAGTGGAATGTATTTTTTTGCTTCTATTAAACAGTTCCATTTACAGTATTTATTTAATTTCTAAGGAGCTAAGTTGACTGTCTATTTGTCCCTCCTCCTCCATGAAGTAGTGAAGCGGGGAGACCAGGACCATCTGAAAGCCTCATTAGAGTTATGCCTTGGAATACCCCAGTCTTAATCTGGCAATCTGATCACAGTGGCTGTTTTTGTATTACAAAATTATTTTTCTTTAGGCAAGACTACAAAGAGGGCATCTACTGCTTAAACAGGGAAAGTTGGACGAAGCTGAAGAGGATTTTGATGGCGTGGTAAGTGAAGTACCTCCTCGAGGCATAATTGAAGTAGCAGCATATGATGAAAGGGTATTAAGCAGTGTATGTCCCCTTATTCCTATACTACATACTGGTGGAATAGTTTAGAATTTGAGTAGTGCTAGAGTCAGCAAGAAATTAGGACCATGTAAATGGTGTTGCTGCCCTGCATCTTCAACTATCTTTTAACATTGATATGGCCTAAACCTAGAGTCCTGCACATTTCTGCACCAAGGAGAGACCATTAAATATATAATTGCCCAATGGTTGCCAATGGGTGGGTGCATTGGGACATTTCGTATCTAACTGAGAGGGAGGGAAGGCTAAAAAAAGAAAAACACCTTACCCCCCCAAAGCAAAATAAGAATGAGGGGGGTGACATTTGAACTCCAAAATACACAACAGTTCGTTTTCAGAGAAGGTAAACTAATGAGTCAGAGACAAGAAAATGAGTACAAAGTAAAGGTAAGAAATGTGACCTAAATGCCTGATTGCATGTTCTTCTTCACAATGCACTATCGGGTGTCATTTCACTGAAAGCAAGCTGATGATTCTCAGAAAAATATGCATCCTAGGAGACAAACATGCCCCAAACCTTCAGTTGAAACCTATGCCTGGAACAGAAGAGAAAACACACACTTTTTCCCTGCTTTCTTCAGCCTTGCAGGATGCTCTTAACCAAATCCCAAGCTGTACTGGATGCTCTCATTCCCTTTTTCTACTCCTGCAAGATGCTCCCTCAGCTCATGACTTCTGCTTTACTTTCTTTTCTTTTTTTAACTTTTTTAAATTAATTTTTAATTAATTTTTTTTAAAAAAATTAAAAACAGTAAAAACTAGCAAGAGCTAATATTAAGAAAAAGAATAAGAAGAAAAAAAATTAGAAAAAAAGGATAGTAAAGATCAAGAGTGCAGAAAAAAAGAAAAGAAGAAAAAAAAGTTGAATCTGTAATTCAACTTCTATTCCAACAAATCTACCATATTCGTTCATCATATTCTAATTTTGTTTTTAATTGTGGGTTAACATATAACACAACTCCATTAACTTTTTTTGGGCCTGCCAAAATAAATTCTTTGTCCCAAATTCTTGCAAATCAAATATTTTATTTCCTTTTTTCTAGTATGAGTCTCTTGTAAACAAATTACATCTTGTTTAAGTTTTTTTAAATTATGAAACACTTTTCTTCTCTTTTGTGGAACATTTGCTCCATTAATATTCCACGTTAGCCATTTGTAATCTATAATTAAGCCAGTAATTTAGAAAAGTATATACCTGTGGCACCCAACTTAGAGTCCTCTTTTTGATCTTCCTCCTGGACAAGTTTGGCTTTTGAGCTTGTCTTCTCATCCTCCTCCAGGTCCCCTTCTGATTTTTCCAGAAATTCTGTAGCTTTATGAACAGAATTTTGTCGACATCTTTTCTGTTGGAAAGTAAAAATCACTCCCTCCAGTTTATCCCAATGAAACAAAATCTTCTGTTTCAATATCTCTGTCAAAAAAAAGCAATCCTTTCTCTTACATAAAATTCTGATGGGAATTCTTTTAATATAATTATATCCACATTGCCAATGTTCAGTCTGGTCTTAAAATGCCATTGCAAAACTTGATCCCTGGTCCTTTTCTTTGCAAAATGTACTAGCTCATCCCTTGGCACATGTCTTATTGCTGCATAGCATGAATTTACCCAGTACACCTTATCATTCTCATCTTCAGCTTTTTCCTCCTCCCAATTTAAACATTCTGCTAATACTTGAACCACCATTCTTCTAATACCTTCCCCTGGAATTTCTGGAATAGCTCTAAACTCAGGCAAAATTCCTTCTCCCTCAACTCCAGCAAAGCCACATTGTCCAATCCTTTCTCCAACTCAAGATCTCTAGTTTCTGTTTTATTCTTCAATGTTTCCATCCTCACATAACCTGCTTCGTTTCTTCAGAGATTTGTTTCATCTCTCCAGCAATTTGTTTCACATAACTGTCCAGCTTATCTATTCTTTCTTTTTTCCCCCCAAAGTCTCAAATTTAGCCCCTAATTCATCAAATATTGGTTTAAGTAAACTTAAAGTGACCGTCTTCTCCAACGGTTGCTTTACGGAGCCTCTTCTCATTTCTTTCACTGCCTTCCTTGTAGCCATGTTCTTTTTATCCCCCCCCCCATAGCCAAATATATTAAATACAAGAGAAAGTAAAGAGACAGTTCATGCCTTCTGGTGTCTTTCAAGATGGAATTGCAGGCACGCGTCAAAGGAAGTACACAGGGATCAAGTTACAGCCTTCTTCTATTTTAGAAACCGAACCAATCAACAAGCACAGTCCAGCAAAACAAAACACTTTCCCATGGAAAAATCAAGCCTCGTCACTGCATATGGAGTGTCATAGAAAAATAAAATTCTAACAAGAAAGCTTCCCTTTTTAATATAAATAA